CACGAATGTATATAGAATGTGGTTTTTCATTAAAGAGTAAAAGGAATGCTATTATAGATACATAAGACTCCTCTCAAAGATACTCTCCGCTGCTAAAAACCTTATTTATAACACATAAGGTAGTAGGTTCTACTTTCAACCAATAAGGTTCGGACACCTAGGCATAACACAACTGTCAAAATAAACCAACAAAAGTTGTGAAACCTAACTACAAAAAATACGAACATAACAACATTTTCCAATACAAGTGAAACAGTTACATCCTAAAACCAAACACAAATTTTCATCTAAACTCATACAATTTTTCATTACGAATCATAGCATGAATGTTTCTTACTCTCTTTGTTGTCTTACTTCTCTTTCTTTCACTACAACACCAAAGATTAACAATTGATTCCATCGACTGTTTCGCCATCATAAGTGGGTTTATCCTTAAAGAATCAGGCAAGATATCATTATGTCATCATCATCGTCCAATCCTTCAAAAAACCGATTCATACCAAGTATGTTGTGTTTTAGCTTATGTGATTATCTCTTAGGATTGTTGTGTGATGTTTTGATAATTATGTTGTCGAGTTGTAATCAACACGATCTACAAAACTAGTACCGAAAGTTCTATCCGCAAAACATATGTTCAACATTAAACCTTCAATTATCAAATAAAATAACATGGATCGAATATCTTCATCATATCTTGAAGATTGAGAGCCAAGAGCGGCTAGGATTTTTTTAAGTAATAGAAAGTATATTTATAATAAAGGAAATGATACTATATATCGGAAATAATAAGGATAGACCGATGTAAAAAATAGGGTAATAAAGGGACATAAGAAAAGGTCAACATAAATATATGGTGACCAAAATTAGCATTCATGAACTTCTCTTGACATATTGTCGTTGAAGAACTAAAGGAAGAAGTAACACCTAAAGCCCTTGATCACCAAGGTAGTTGAGAAATACATTGTTAGTTACTTGTCGTTTGGGAATAATGATTATGTATCCTGTATATGATGAATTTATTTAAAATCATATGGGGCGAGCAATTCCAATGTTGAAGCTTATGAGACACGAAACTAAGACCACTGTGTTTTGGAGATTTAAATTGTAATTCTTAAGTAATCACCACTTAGACAGCTTAATGACCATCAATATAACCAGAACATTCATCCACCATAGAGGGCCTATTTTCTATATTTCCCATATTTTGAGGCCTATATATATGAGTAAATATTAATATCATGAGAGTGCATGCTACTAAATTGTCTAATATTCTTCCGTTGACTGGAGAAGTTCTTAACTTGATGATGTTGACTTAATCCAGATATTTGAGTTGTTATTTAATTATTATTGTAGAAATTTTTTTTAGAGCTTTGAATAAGTCATATGCCATGTTGGCTATACTACGGAGTCTAAAGGATAGTGTGGAGTCAGTTTCCTTAATTTCCTGCATTTCTTTTAGTTTAAAATGGCAAAGTGTACGTTGTTGGTAATTTCCCATTTTGTTTAACTTTGAATGTGAATAAAGGTGCATCTTTTTCTCATTTTGTTCTCCTATCCCCTATTTTGTTTTAATTCATAAAACCTTCATACATCCTTAAGCCTCCTCTGTAATACCAACATTTGGTATTAGAGCATAACCTAGTGCATGCCACAGTATCATCCACGAGTGAAAGAAACGACATGGAACAACAACAATGAGAAATATTGGCAACTTAATTACACTTTATTACCCCATGTTATCAAAAAAGAATTATGTTGCTTGGACTTTAAAAATGAGAGTGTTCATGCAAGCTCAAGGGGTTTGGGATGCAGTTGAACCCAAAACAACAAATACTGTTATAGAAGTCAAGAAAGACAAGATGGCATTGACAGCATAAGATCTGTTTTTGGCTTTACCAAAGAAGAAATCGGCCAAGGAAGCATGTGAAGCCTTAAAAGTGATGTTCACGCAGGCGGATAAGGTGAAGACAACAAGAATTCAAACCATGAAGGCGGAATTTGTGGCTTTGAACATGAAAGAGTCGAAGGCTGTAGATGAGTTCATTTTGAAAGTGAGCAACATTATCAGAACTATACGTGCCTTAGGAGATATAGTAGAAGAATCATATGTAGTGAAGAAGCTACTAAGAACCATTGCATCCAAGTTCCTACATATTCCTTCAACTGTTGAGCAGTTTGGAGACTTGAATGTGATGGAAGTTGAGGAACTAGTATGGAGGTTAAAAGCACATGAAGAACGCATGAAGGGTCACTTTGAAAATGAAGAAAGAAAACTCATTCTCAGTCATCAAGAGTGGACAGACGGAAACAAGAAGAAAAATGAAGAGGACTCCAAGAACTTACATAAAGAAAACCGTGGAGGATGTAGTAGCTCACTAGGTCGACGTAGAGGTTGTGGAAGAGGAACCACCAACAACCGTGGTGGTCGTGGTTCTCACCACCAGAAAATTCATGAACCATCCGAAAGTGGAGACAATAGTAAAGTTCAATGTTACAATTTTCAAAACTTCGGTCCTTACGTTGTTGAATGTGGAAACACAAGGCGTGAAAGAAACCAACACATATATTTGGGTCTAGAACACATCAACAAACCAACTTTTCTACTGTCAGTTCTTGATGATTCTTTAAAAACTGTTGAAGTTCATTTAAATGAAGAAAACAAGAATCCACGGTTGAAGACGAGTGGTGATGAAGCGAGCTAAAGAATTTAATTGTACTGAGATATGGGAGCTAGCAACCACATGACGAGAGACAAGAACAAGTTTCATGACCTCAATCAAATGATAAAGGGCTCAATTGTTTTTGGAAATGGGTTTAAAGTTAGAATTACATGGAAAAGCTCAATATTCTTCCAATTCAAAAACAGACAACAGAGAAAGTTCCAAGAAGTATACTATATACCTGAATTATGCTCAAATATAATAAGTATTTGTCAATTGACAGAAGGTGGATATGAAATTCGTATAAAGGACCTATTTTTATGAGTTAATGAAGTTGTCGGAAAGCTACTTATGAAGGTACATGGGTCTTAAAACCTACACTATAAGATCGATTTGGATGAAGTAAGAACGGGATGCTTTCTTGGTGAGATAATAGAGTCAATATAGCTTTGGCACAAAAGGATGAGTCACATAAACTTTGATGCATTGAAGTTTATATTTCACAATATATAATCTTGTTGAAGGAATACCAAAGATAAGAAAACCCACACAACTCTGTGAAGGCTGTCTCGCATGGAAGCAAACAAGTAGATCCTATCCAACAAAGTCTTTGTACATGTCAAAGAAGTAGCTTGAACTGATACATGGAGATTTATGTGGACTCGACACATATCCCACACCCTCTGGGAACAAGTATTTAATGCTTCTGGTTGATGATTACAGATGATCCATGTGGGTCGATTTGAAGAAGACCAAGGATGAAGATTCCAAAATTTCAAGAACTTTAGAACAATAGTAGAGAACAAAACAGGAGAAAGAATGAAAGTGTTCCATACAGACCAAGGATGTGAGTTCCTTTCAAACCGTTTCATCTGGAATTGTGAAAAGACTGGAATCAGTTGACACTTTACATTAGCATTTTCCCCACAACAAAATGGTGTTGTGGAGAGGAGATACAAAACAGTCTTGGAGATGGTAAGTTACAATATGAAGGCGATGACAGTATTAGATGTGTTGTGGGGAGAATTTATATATAAGTCATGTTGTTGTGTATATTCTAAACAGAGTAAACATAAAATCTCACAAAGAACTACACCGTATGAACTGTGGAGTGGAAGAAAGCCAAGTGTAGAACATCTTAGGGTATTTGGATGTGTCGCTTAGGTGAAAGTCGCTAAAAGATATCCAAAAAAGTTAGAAGATAGAAGTAAAAATATGGTTCATCTTGTAACTGAGAAGGGAACAAAGGCGTACAAGCTATTAGACCCAGATACGACGTCAATTTGTGTGAATAGAAACATAACTTTTAAAAAAGATAAAGAATGGGAGTGGGAAAAGGCAGTTATGATTCAAACGACACCAGGTATATGTTTTACAATAGAGAATACGATCTAAACAAAACAGAAGAGACTGAAGTTAAGTTGATACCTAGTGCGCATGAGGGATTCGAGTATGAGCTGCAACAGGAAGATGGAACTTGGACTGAAGATGAGGAAGATCTCAATACTCCCCATGTGGACTCTGTCACAAGCTCACATGTTAGCCCACCCAGTTCACCACATCCCGACACATCTACGCATGAGACCCTAATCTCGTCAATTGCTTCATCAGATACGACATCGAGCTCTACAGGTGGTGGCACTTCTAAGAGATCCCGGTTGCTAACCAATCTATACCAAAACACTGAGCGATTATTGATGGTTCACGATGAGGAAGAACCTACTTCATATGCAGAAGCAAGATGAGGATCTGAGTGGGTTGAAGCTATGAAGACAGAGCTCAATTCAATTGAGAAAAATCGAACATGGAACCAGGTTGAACTTCCAAAAGGACAAAAAGCGATTGGATTGAAGCGGGTATTCAAGGTGAAAAGAAATCCAAGTGGAAGAATTTTGAAGCATAAAGTGAGAAATATTCTAGCAAAAACGAGAATGGAAGACAACAACCCTACAAAGTGCCTAATTGATCAAAAAGTGCAGCTAAGAAAAGATGAAGATGGGGAGTTGGTTAACCCGACTAAGTAAAAAAGCATCGTGGGAAGCTTACGCCATTTAACACATACTCCTCCCGATCTATCCTTTGAAGTGGGTGTTTCTATTCAGTTCATGGAGAAACCAACTGAAAAACACCTCCGGTTGGTGAAAAGTATCCTTAGGTATGTAAAGGCAACCTTGGATTATGGATTGGTCTATTCAAAAGGGGGGAAAGAAATCAAGATTGATGATTCTTTAGAGAATGAATACAACTAAAGCTACCCATTTTGTTCTCCTATCCCCGGTTTTGTTTTAATTCATAAAACCTACCAACAAGTGATAGATACCAAACTGACCACAAGTCCCATGTGTAAATACGAAACCAATACTTGTATAACAGAATAAATTTGAATACAACTAACAATTAAGTTACACATTACTACAACACGATAAAATTCAATACGCTAAGCAAAAAATATTTACCAACGATTTGGTGATCTTCTAAAAAAAACAACTATGTTGTTTATCTTTAAATTAATCTTCGGTTTCTCCAGAATGAAGTAATGAATAGGTATCTTAATTAACGGTACATTCCTCCTGGAGCCATAGGTGGCATTTGTACTCCATGATTTTGTCTCTCCATGTTACCTTGCCATCCTGTATTCAGTCATAATCATCCAAATCAGACTTTGATAAATAATAATGCAATACATTTCTAATGTATCACATGTTTGGACATATATATGTTGGCAATTAAGTGAGATCATTTACCAATAGATATGTCAAATCCACGATGTTTAAGCTCACGATACTCTTGACACAAGGCACATGGTTCACAACACCAATGAACAAGACAATCGTTGCAAGGAGTCTCACGTAGTCCATATTGGCTCCTCATCTTGCTCCGAAATACACAAGAATACAAACATCCACAACATGTGAATGCTGAAATAATTGCATAGAGAGCCCCTTGTACTCCACAGGCTGTATTAATTACGTACCAATTATTATGTTTATCTCATACACTTAATAAAATACATATTAAAACTCAAATCTATGGTTTTCTTCTGTTTTTCGCATGTACTTTTTACCTATGGATTCGTGTGTGGGGTAATCGACATGATTCATGTTGTGTTGCAATAATTTGGTAAAAAGAAGTTAAAATAAAGAATTATGTGATTTATGTTTACAAAAAAATGATGTAATCAAACAACTGAAGTTAATCCGGAAGCAATAAATAGAAATGATCTGATTATTTAAACATTCAAATCAGAAAACCCTGAGTTTATGCACTTACAAGTGTTTCCTTTGTCAATGATCTCAGCTATTTGTCCGAAAGTAATGCATGGACACCAACATGTTAAGCAACCTGTGGGATACAAAAACAAAGAAACTTGATTATATATACTTTGTGAATTGATAGTTGTAGAGAGAAGAAAAAGAAGCTGATCAGCCATGGACTTACAGTTGGGGACATCGGAGCAGCAGGCACAAAGGCTGCTGGACCATTTCTCGTTGATGGGTTTATGACCCACCGGAATACCTGTGGCATACTGCGGTGGTTCGTAATTGGATTGTGGTGGTGCCGGTGGTTGGTAATATGATTGCGGAGGAGCTGATGGTGGTGGCGATGTTTGTTTTGGAGGGTAGTCTTGGGAATGAGAAGAATACATGGTGTTTGCTGGTGGCCAATCTTGGAAATGGAGATATTTATTTATTGAGGACAGATGAAAAGAATATTTAATGTTCAAACAAAAGATTGAAATATCTATATATGCATCAAGTTGGAAGTTTCAACGATGGCTGAATTTTGACCAAGACCTTGTTTCTAACGATAACGTTTTTTAAATACTCTTACCTAACTTTTACCATTTCAATGCATAGTTTACGTTGCTTCTTGGTTACGGTTTATTTCTGAAGATTCGATGACAAAGTATTTTGAGTAAATAACAGTTTTGGTCCATGAGTATAAGTGGGTTTGTAACTTTGGTTAAAGAAAGTTTTGTCTATCAAATTTGGTTCTTATTAAGATTTTGGTGCTTGTTTCGTCTAAGTTAATAGCCTAGTTGTAATAAAAATTAAAACTACCTGTTTTGCTCTTGGAATAAATGTAATTGAGATATCATATACCGAGGAATCAAAGTTGTAATTTTATCATATTTTTTAAGTGCTTATATCTATTTTGTAACTATATATATATATATATATATATATATATATATATATATATATATATATATATATATATATATATATATATATATATATATATATATATATATATATAATAAAGATAAGTGAAAATTAAAAAGTTGGCCTTTGAAGTGATCAAGACCAAAATCATAAGGTAAATTCAAATAATGACCACATTTGCAATTGAAAACACCCAGAAAATAGCTATGCCCGTGTTAACAAAAACAAATTTTAGTTAATTATTTATTTTATCAATAATTAATTAGCACCGATTTTATATCTGTTTTTAATCGGAATGAAAGTATCCGTTTTTATCAAAACCTAGTTGAACCGATTAATTTAAACCTGTTGAACCAATAAATTGAATAAAATCACGTGGAAATTTAGAATTTTCATAATAAACATTAGTGGTCTTTTTGATATCTATTTAGATTTTACAAAATAAAAACAAATAATTTTATTAGAATTTTCAATATGTTTATATTAATGTAAAACTATAATTTGTTTATATATATATATATATATATATATATATATATATATATATATATATATATATATATATATATATATATATATATATATATATATATATATATATATATATATATATGTTAGGTATTGATGTAAAAGTTCTCGGTATATGTTTTTTCAGTGTATATGGAATTATCTATAATGTGTATTTTTAATATTTAAATTTGTCAACATCGAATTTTTAATATTTTTATGTATGTATGGGAAAATTAGAAAAAATAATTAAAATTATAGAAACTAGTCCCAAAGGTCAAATGGATCGCGGTACAAACCTGTGTTTGAAATATTGATTATAGCTCGCCGTGTTATAACAAAAGAAAATGTTGCACAATAAGCATTTGGAAAATTTTAGTTTACTTTTTTTTTTAGAAGAATACATGTTTTAAGGTTTTTTACTTTAAAAAAAAAAGACTCGTATTCCCAAAAAAAAAACTAATAATCCAAAAATTACTTTAATTTGCCATTCAAAGATATTTAGTTTTATGTTTTATATTATTTTACAAATATCAAAAGTTTGCAATATATTTACTGAAAAAAAAAAAAAAAAAAAAAAAAAAAAAAAAAAAAAACCTACAGTTTACAACAAACCACTGCACAACACCCATATAAAAATAAAAATAAAAAACACACTTTTTTTATTAATCCGAAACATAGAGATCATGAAATTTGGGATCTTTAGCACCTCCAATTGATTTACACTTTTTTCTTGACTAGTTTATACATCACCGAATGTGCCCATAAACGTATATTTTTCCCTATGAGTATTGAAAACTTTAAGTACACTTGAAGTTTTGGCCCCCAACTTAACGATTCATTCCTCCAATAGCCACAGGTGGAATTTGAACTCCATGCATCTGCCTATTCATACCTTCTTTCCATCCTGAATATTTACACAATCAACAAAGACCAATTAGGATCGTATGATCAAAGTTATAATAAATATGATATCGATTTAATGCCAATGATTGATTACCAATAGACATGTCATATCCACGGCATTGGAGCTCACGATACTCTTGACACAAAGCGCATGGCCCACAACAGAAGTGAACACAACAATCGTTAGTTGGAACTTCAGGCAATCCTTGTTGACGCCTCAACTTAGTTCGATACAAACAAGAATAAAGGCATCCAAAACCCGTTAAGACATTGATAAGTGCATAACGAACACCATGTACTCCACAAGCTGTGTTATATTCAAAATTTATTAGTGGTTGAAAACCAGTTTTTGTTTGATAATCATGTAACTACTTACAAGTTGTTCCTTTGTCTACAATCTCAGCTATTTGTCCGAAAATAATACAAGGGCACCAACATGTTAAGCAACCTATCATTTAAGAAGTTAAGTAAAGAAATTAGCTGAATAAAAGAAAAATAAAAAGAGGGTAATCACCATTGATGAATGATGGTTATTGAGTATAAAAAAGATTGCATACTTCTGGTGACTTACAATTTGGGATATCAACACAACAGTCACATAGTCCACTTGACCAGGACGTCTGAGTTGATGCAGAAACGCCGGTGGTATATGGTGGTTGACCATATCCTTGTGGAGGGGCTGAGAGATGTGGAGGCTTAGGAGAATACATGATTACTCAAACCAATAGTCAAGAGTTGCTATGAGACAGCTACTATGAACCACATATTTATGGATCACATGGATATTTTACTTGAATCAACAGGGGAAATAATAATAATTTTATGCATCAACTTGGAACTTTCTTATAATATTTTACGCTAATATATGAACAAACCCATTGATGTGCAAGGTACTAAAATAGAAGATGACGTACATATAGATATATCATGTACTCATTATATGATGACATTTTCTTTAATATAAACTTGGATCAATTTTGACTTTGGGTTTAATGAGCTTAGCATGGGACCTTCTTATCCAAATGTTCTACGACCGTATAGTATTGGGTTTATTTAGTCGTATATATCTTCTAGTTGTTTTCCTATTGTTTAGCTTGTTAGCTTTATCTCTTAAGTGCTATCAGTATATAGCCTCCTCACATTTGTAATTGTTTTGAAGATATACGAAAAGATTGTTCCCTGTTCTATCAATTTTATCATAGTATGAGAGTGGGTTACAATCTAAACCCTAATCACCTTCCTCCCTAGCCGCAACCATGGCCGGCGACACGAGTGACACCCCAAAGAAAACCGTAGGAGCACCGGACATCAACTCACCATTCTATATCCATGTGTCTGACTATCCGAAACAAATGTTGGTCAATGACACTCTAACCAACAACAAGTATACAGATTGGTCCCAAGAGATGATGAACTTTCTCTACGCCAAAAACAAGGTAGGATTTGTTGATGGTTCCATTCAAAAACCTGAAAATGACTCTGAAGACTACATGACATGGATGAGATGTGATGTTATGGCCGATAAAAGGCTGGCTCACAACAGCAATGGAAAAGGATATCAGTTCTAGTGTTAAGTATGCTAACACAGCCTCATAAATATGGTCTGATCTCCTTAAAAGATTTGGAAAAGAAAGTGCTCCATTAAAGCAAAGTCTCACTACTACTCACCAAAAAGGAGCTTCCGTCTCTGCATACTACACTTAGGATGGTTGCTATGTTATTGCTATGCTAGATTTCATCTTGGTTTAGTATGGTTGCTATGTTAGATTGCATCCTGGCTTAGGATGGTTGCTATGTTATTGCTATGCTAGATTTCATCTTTGTTTAGTATGGTTGCTATGTTAGATTACATCCTGGCTTAGGATGGTTGCTATGTTATTGCTATGTTAGATTTCATCCTGGTTTAGGATGGTTGCTATGTTGGAGATCGGTTAGATCGGTATCCTGGTTATAGGATGGTTGCCATGTTAGTGATCTGTTAGATCTGCATGTTTACTTATTATATGTATGTGCGCATGTTTATTGGTTTGGGGAAGGGTTGAGGCAGGTCCTGATGTGTGCCAAGACACTCTGGGCGGACCGGGTAGACTGCAGGCCCGGGTCGGGCAAATCCAGTCAGGCCGAAGGCCCAGCGAGCGGTCTGGATAGGCCGAAGGCCCCGAGGAGGGCGGTCTAGAAGTGTCGATGGCTCGGAGAGCGGTCCAGATAGGCTGAGGACCGGGAGTCGGTCCAATCAGATTGATGACTCATTATACATGATGTTTGTTGTTTTCTTATATGTTTATATGATATGGTTATATATGTATGGCGTTGGTATTTTGGGGGTAACTCACTAAGCCTTCGAGCTTACATTTATCGATAATTGTTTTAGGTATTCTGATGATCGCGGGAAGGTGAAGGCATGATCGTGCACCTCCTTACATTTTCATGATTGATTATGGGGATGCTATGATGTTTAAATTATTTTGAAAGTAAACTGTAATAACTTAATGGTTTTAAAGGTTTTAAAAAGTTTTAAATTGGCTTGAATTTTATGGATGTTACAAGTTGGTATCAGAGCCTTGGTTTGAGTGAATTGGAGAAACATTTATGTGAATCCAGTCTCAAGTCAAGGAAAGATTTTCAAAATAATTTCTAAATGGATTTCAAAAATAAGTAAAGGAGGATGCAGGGTGTACGATCAGTCGGAGCTAGTAAGTAGACCCAAAATACCATACATAATTTGCTTACATGATATGTTAGAACAACATGCTGGTACTAGGATAGGGATCTTCATGAATTGCATGATAGAATTGCCTGATTACATGATGATTGATAGCCTAGGGTTTTCCTTATATGAAATTGACATCATTACTGTAGTTGCTTAGTATATGTAACACGATTGTATATTAAGATCTTATAGCCTGAGAATGTTTGGTTTTACTTTATTTCCTATTCCTTGTCTGGTTGTGAGCTTAGAGTAGGACCGAGTATTCGAAAGTCTATATGGTCCAACGTTATGTATGGTTAGCATATACAAGGGCTGCAGGGTTGGTGGAAGTTTCATGGGTGGGTTGTGAGAGGCTGGGAGGCAAGTTATGGGATCTTTAACATTCCTCTATGAGTGAGGTTTGAGCGCTCGCTATGATTATGTATATTGTTAGGGCGTTGTGATGATAATTGAGACAAATATGGGTAGGTGTGGAAGGTAGTATGGGCCTGTACTACTGAAAGCACAGGACCCGTACGCGTAGCAAGAACATCATAAACCCTAGGGTTTGGTTGGGAATTGGTTCTTTTCATTATATGGGTTATCAGAGATATTTCTGGTATATTACCATAATGGTGGTTACGAGACATCTTGAGACCGAATCCAAGTTTGGATCGAGAGCTGGCAGCAAGGATAGGCCAGCATTGTCAGAGGACCGTGTTAGTGAGATCATCCTAGGGGAGGTGATCGGGATTGTCCGGGAATAGTTTTTTTGGGATGTTTCAGTCTATTAAGACCGTCATTGTTGAGTATTTCGACGAGCGTTATGCAGCCATTGTCGTGACGGCCGCCGCAACAGCTTCCACAGCTGTAACGACGATAGGGGGAGAAGCTGGACGAGCTTTCCAGAACCGGGACTTGTTATTGGTGCATAATCTGATGAGCAGAGGGATACAGTTATTTGGGAGCAGGAAGATGACCTGTAGTCGTTATATTTTCATGGGTTGAGCGGGAGAGAATAGCTTGTGGGTTTCTAGATTTGAGGCTTGGGGTTTTGCTCGAGACTGGAATGTGCGTCGCAGGGACACTGGAAAGGAGTGATGATTATGTTTAGCTGGGGTTTTACAGCTGGAAGTGGAATGGCTAATTAATGAATTGGATTGTCATTTGGTAGGGAAAGGATTGTGCCCTCTCAGTTTTTCGAGCTCGAAGGAGTGACCAGACTTGTGACCCGGGGGTAGGTTGTTTTCTAGCTTGGGGTCAGTCGGTTACAGAGGTTGGCAACATTATTTCAGCGCCGATGAGCGCAGGTGGGTCAACTTGGCATAAGTATGTGTGGAGTCTGGTTTGCCTTGGATCTCTTGCGTCGGACGGTAAGGAGTGATTGGACAATCTATTTCACATTTGGGATTGTAGATTATGTCTTGGGAGTAGTTGTAGCTCGGTTTAGGGCAGAGGTTGTTTCAGCTGCTGCAGTTCAGCTGTGGACGTTTGAGCTGGTAATTGAGTCAGGGTGCGAACCCTGAAGAGACTGATTCTAGAGCCTGATAGAGGGATGTTTATTGGAAAACCTTTGGAAAAAGGGGTATTACGTGGGAAATCCACGGATAGGGTTGCTCATGATGGTTATTCAGCATTGTCGGGACTCAGTGGTATTAACAACCATTTGTGATTGATGAACGAAAGCGCCATTGGAAAGGGATTCGTTGCCGAGGTATTAGTTGGAGCGTTTGTCTTTTTTCCTTCAGGACATGAGTGTAGGGTCGCTCAAGCATTAGTGGCTGATGGTTTCTCTGGAGTTCAGCAAGTTCTCATCTGCTTCATGGAAGTGTATGATCATTCGGGATGGGCTAGTAATGGAGCATTAGTGGGAAAGAGTTTGTTAGCCTTGGATCAGTCGTTGGGAAGTGAGAAGGATTGAGAATCCTCCAATTTTCATGAACTATGAAGGCTTAGTCGAATCTATGTGGGGGAGTGTTGCCCCACGATGTGGAAGTGGGAGAGGTTTTGAAATAGGGATAAGTTTCATAACCCGATAAGAAGAATGGAGGCCCTAGTAGCTGCTCGGTTTGAGGTTTGTGTGAGTTGGGGGTTCGGTAAACTCCACATTATGTGTATCACGTCTTCTCAGTAGTTGATAGTAGAAATTAGGGAATCAGGTTGGAAGTCTGGTTATGATTGAGTTAAGTTCGAGTATGCACTCGAGGGTGTGCTCAACTCTGAGGGTTTTTGGATTGATAGATTGAAGGTTTTGTTAGCTGCCAGGGCTCGGCAGCATTTCAGCACGACTATGCGGGTTATTTAACGTATGTGATAGACACGTAGGGCAGGGAACATACCATGGGTTCAGAAGAGGTAGTTGATCGTTGTGAGGCCTGGGTTTAGGCTAGGGAAAATTCAAGTGAAGGATTCGGAGTTCGGAACCCTTAGAGGGCTAGAACAGACTGAATTAGAGATTCCTGGGAAGAATGGTTCAGGGTGATTTACAATGATTTTTGAGCAATCCAGATACACTGAAGGCCAATGGGCGTACCAGTCAGGCCGAAGGCTTGGAGAATGGTCCAGGCAGGCTGAAGGCCCAGAAGGGTGGTTCAAAACATGCTGAAGGTTATGAGAGTGGTCCAGATTGGCTAAAGGCCTGGTAATGCGGTCCAGTCATGCTGAAGAGTCTGTATGTGTTAGTAGATCGGTATGTGGAGAATGAGGGAGTATGTTACCATGCAATGACAATTGATAAGGTCTGGCCCCAAGTATTGATCATGATGATGGGGTTAGCTAAAAGTTGTGTATGGGCCTTGTTAGTTATGTGATCAGATTCAGAGTGTATGAGTTAGAGAATAGCAGTTGCTCCACATGGGTATTGTTTTAGCATCATGGCACTTACGGATGTGGTGAAGGTTGTTTGAGTAGACTTCCTGGGAGAATGGAAGGGAAAGGTATGTAGCTCCGGGAAGTAGTATTGGTCATATGAAGGGAAAGTAGTAGTGTAAAGGGATGATCGAAAGTATTTCAGTTATCGTTAATGAGCACTAGAAATGTACCAGTTGTATGGAAGCACATCCGGGTTGAATGTTTGCTGAGGTTGTGGAATGGCTAGCGTTGATGTCGAATCAGAGGAGTTCCGAAGTGATACAAGGGTGATCCTTGGGTTTCAGTTTATGGTTGTAGTCATGAGTTATGTATGTGGTGGTGTTCCATCCTAGGGATGGTTGGACCCATCGTAGGCATGC